TAAGATCTGTCTTGTATATTCTCTTAAATATTACTTACAAACTGCATAGACCCATTAGGGGTTGTCCATCATAGACCCATTAGGGGTTGTCCATCATAGACCCATTAGGGGTTGTCCATCATAGACCCATTAGGGGTTGTCCATCATAGACCCATTAGGGGTTGTCCATAAAGGACATCAGCCGATAATACCTGCTTTCTTAACCTGCTCTCCCCACTGGTCCACTTTTATCCATAGGTGTCTTAATCACACACATACTGGCTGAAGATGCCAGCATTAGGCATATATACTGCTCTATGGTCTGGCAATGTAATAGTTGGTGTTCTTAAAATAGAACACTCACTGGTCTCATCACAACATATACTTTAAAACAAATAACAAATTTATATGGGATCACTCATAAAGGACTTTTGCAAAACATACTGGAGTACACCCATTAGGCCTAAAACAGCTGTTCAACACAGAATATCATAACAAACAAATACTAGCTTGTGGACATCCACAAGGTCCTTTACACCCCTCCCCCATCTTTGCATATGTCCTTTATGGATGATCCCTTATAAGATGGCGGATCTGGACCAATAAAAATTGTTGTAGGATTTGATGTGCACACAAGAATATAATACATTAAGATTATATTGTTAATAGATGCTTATTCTTTTACATCAGAATAAGAAAATTTGCACAAGTTTGAGATAAAAAAAATTCTCCAATGCAGTTATGCAAATTTACTCTCAGAATGGTTATCATTTGGAAAAACTAGATTTGTTTGTTTCGAATGAACAGATTCAGTTGTTTTGAAAGAACAGGCTCATTTGTTTTGAAAGATGGGTCGGTCTGTGTTGAAAAATCAGACATGGTTGTTTTGAATGATCACTATATTGATATTAGGAATATTACATTTTTATTTTGATAGGTAGTGTGTATCCATGACTGAACACAAAAATTTAAAAAAATTACAAGCATCTTGTAGTTAAGAGTGGTAATAATATGTGAAAGATTTTATCATGATCAGACACAATGAACTCCAAGAAGGTGTGCCACAGTGTGCTAGTAGAAGTTTATCTAGAAGGACCAGTATGGGTCATTTTTATTAGATTTGAGTTGTGCCTAATGACACATTTGCAATGAAAGTTAATTTACATGTGGCAGCTTTATGCAGTGTTATGGGCAATAAATACTTTCCTTTGGATCAGGACTTTCTGAATGACAAGGGTCAGAACATAGTCCATGGTTAGAAATCTGTGTGCTAATGACAAAGATCAGTTCTTGCTCCTATTCTGTTCCTTGTGTATGTAAATAGCCTTTCCATAGGAAATAGTCAAACCTTTTGCTGATGACAATGTCATCTAATTCATATTAAACCATACATGACATGGAAAGCTAGCTCAGAAAGTCCTTGAAAGATACCAGGTTTGAGATCAGAAATGGGATATGGACTTCACTCCTTGGATCATGTCTTGCATAAGATTCCCTCTCCAGCACCTATTAAGACTTGGTACATCCTCCACAAACCAGAGTGCCAAATATCTTGGAGTAACCTTTTCCAGCAATCTTTCATGGTGTCCATATATATTGTGACAAATTGGCAGCGTTCAAAACACACCAACCTCTTTCACTACAGTTCATTGCTAGGGAATGACCTTCGCTGTGTAATTTACCCAGTGTGGATAGATAGAAAGAAGAATGCAAATAACTGAACAAGTATATTGAAGAAATAACACAACAAGACCCCTTTCAATGAACAAATATAAAATTTAATCAGTTTATCAACAGAATTTAAAATGAAAAGAAATCAATGACTTGGTTACAGAAAGAAGGAAAATGGTACTAACATGTACTCAAAAAAAAAGACAATACAAATTCCTTTAAATGTAAAATTACTTTTTTCAAATGACCTTTGAGTGCAAGGATGAGAGACTTCATCACCTATTTTGTTCACATCAATATTTCCTTTCCGTTGTTCAGTTGTTCTCCCTGCTCTGCTGATCTTTGTCTAGCTGTTTGGTCTTGGACTCTTGTCTGAACTCTGATTTAACAATCATCTCTGGACTTAGATTTTGGCTCAGAATTTTCTCTGGTCCCGTGATTGGTTTAGGGATTTCTCAGGTGAATCCAGGAAAGCTGTTTCCTTCAGTAAATAAAATGTCTTGCAATAGACAATAGGTGACATTCCCAGGTATATTTATATTTTTACATTAATTGGCTCAGAAAACAAATTGCATAAATTCTGCCAAGTAACTCATTGCTCCCTAACTCTTATGTTTACATAGATGGTCAAGGCTTGTCCTGACTTTAATTAGGATGGTCAATTAAATTCAACTCAGCCATATGAACCCCATATGTAACCCTTCCCTTGACTTCTTACTCTACCAATCTAGCAGTGTTAAGTTATATATGGCTTAGACCCTCAAATCTAACTATTCCTAAAATAGTTTACTCAACCAATTAAATATTACAAACTAGCATATAGATATACACTTAAGTGATCAATTAAATATTACAAACTAGTATAAAGATATACATGTAATGTTAGGTCATATTCATTCTAGACAGAGGTAATCCATAAAACTATGAAACATTACCCATCATTCCTTAAGCTTAATTCATGAAAATTCCTAATCACTCCTATGTATTAAAGATTCAATTACATGCAATCTTTTCAACTAATCTAGTGAAATTTTAATTACATTCAATCTTGCCAATTCTCCAAATGAAATGATAATTAGAAAATCAAAGAATAACATGTCATGACTAGCATTTCACTAAAATCCTGCAAAATGAAATCATACATACATACATCATATCAAGAATACATTTGCAAATATATCAACAAATAAAATAACATATTAAAATTGGGAAACTAAGATTGCGTACCTTTTGCCATTTTTTTTATTTGTTTCCATGAACCTCACATATAGTATAGTCCGTCTCCTAGCTGAGACAACTATCTGGCCCCTTACTCTATAAGGAAACGTAACAAATTCAAATGTAGAGTTTGTCTACCCGATGAGACAAAACTCCTGATTTACTGCCAAATCACAGATAAAACGTCTTACACACACTGCTTCTCCAGACCACTCTTTTTCTAGAAAGATTGAAGGACTGAAGAATTTTCCTAAAGTAAAACCTTTAATTTCTTACAGAGTTACCACCATAAATCCATATTAACCAATCAGAATAGACTGTTTCCTAAACCTGTTCAGTAGAATTTTTTGGATTGACAACTAAACAACTAATCATGCTGTAATTAACATTCCTCTAAACAATGGTCTATAGCCAGCTCCCAACCTTGAACCTGTTGATTTTGGGGAAGGGTCTTATGTCATTCTTTGGTACCGTATCATAGGACTGGTCATGTTACGTCAGCTAGAACAAATTCCCCTTTGACTGTTCAGGGATGAAATGAAAATAATCATCTATCTCTAGCCCTTTCCACTTTAATTAAGTTGACTTTGATACAATTGGTTAACCAATGCTTCTAAGAGTTTTCAAAATTCGACACATCACACACACACACACACACACACACATATATATATATATATATATATATATATATATATATATATATATATATATATATATATATATATATATATATATATATATATAACTTGCTAATAAAGAATTGGAATTCTTGGTTTTACTCTTTTGAAAATATGGCTATCAGTACAGAACAGAAATAGCCCATACAGCTCTTGCTTGTCCACACTTAGGGTAGATCAGTTTTATCTGGTTGGAGTATAAAACTCTCCTGTACAGTTATAGTATGCCAGCTTTATCTGGATAAGCCAATACAGCTTTTGTCCCCAGTTAGTATGTCAGCTTTATCTGGATGGCTTATAAAGCTCTTGCCCCAGTTGGAGTATGTCAACCTTTTCTGTATAGCTTCTTTTGTCCCCAGTTAGAGTATGCCAGCTTTATCTGGATAGCTAATAAAGCTCTTGCTCCAGTTAAAGAAAATAAGCCTTTTATGGATAGCCTATAAAGTTTTTGCTTGTCCCCAATTAGTAGGTTAGCTTTATCTGGATGGCTTATAAAGCTCTTGCTTGTCCCCAGTTAGAGTATATCAGCTTTGTCAAAATCAACAAAATCTAATATGGTTTAACAGTATTACCCATGCTGGACTCCACAATTATTTTTCAGCATTTTTTTTAGTTCCATTTTTGATGTATTGGGATGAATTTATTTGGTACAATGAGAGTCAAAAGTCTATGTCTTGTTATTCTACTTTTTGTGTCCTGTGGGTAAATATCTATCTATAAAGATTACTGGTAAAAAAAAATTTTGCTGCAATAATGGGTTGTTTTTGAATTCTCATACTGTACTGCTGACTATCAGGCTAGGTTGGCAGCTAGCACACACATATATGTAATATTGGTGGTGGCGGTGTTTGTTTTTAACCTGCCTTGATCTTTTTTTCACATAACCTATAATTGTTAGTATAAATTCTTGCAAGGGATGTGTCATTGTGTAGACTAAATGTTCTATTGCTTTGAATTTCTTGAAAAACAGGTTTGAATTTAAACCTGCCTTGCAAGATCCATCTGCCTACAAAAATGGTCTCTCAAGACAAGTGGTTTCTCAGTTGAGGGTACCATACTATCTGTATAAAGTGTATTGAATGTTTTATGGCACAGCAACACAAAAAGGTTATTTTATACTGATGCAATTGAAGTAAAGTGGGGCCCAAGAATATGTAATTGTAGCTGATACAAGTTGATCCACTGTTATTATTCAAACCCACTCTTGTTTACCAGATCTGGGTTTTTTTTTTGTCCCACCTCCAGGATGGTAGGGAAATATGGTATTTCCAGTGTCCATCTGCCACACTTTGCTTAAGTTTTGATATTTTTTTGATCCATTTAGGCATTTGTGGGGGCCTGGAGCATCTACATTTAATAAACAAATTTCTATTATTGTTTTTGGAGCCAAAAGATTATAGCCTTATTTCTAGCTGTCTTGTTGCCTATGCAGTATCTTGTCACATTGTTAACCGCTCTGATGGCCTTGTGGTTAGAGGATCTGCCTTGGATGTGGGAGGTTGTGGGTTCAATCCCCAGTCGAGTCATACCAAAGACTTAACAAAAATGGTACTAACAGCTGCCTTTCTTTATGCTCAGCATTAAGAGGTTAATGTATGGACTGGTTGGACTGATGTCAAGATAACGTGACTCTGGGTCATTGTGCTACACATCTGTGGCATGATACCACAGTACTAGACATCACTATAAACTGTCACACTGCAGACATCATAGGATATGATTGAAAAATTGTTAAAAATATGTTAAAAATCATAATCACTTCAGTCTTTTTATCCCATGGTCAGTACAGTGTTGCATGTGTAGGGCATTAGTCCCCTGGTAAGCACAGTACATTCCATGTATAGTACCTTATATTGCATGCATAGGATATTGTCCCACTGTTAGTACAGTGTTTTGCATGTGTAGGGCATTAGTCCCCTTGTCAGCACAGTACATTCCATGTATAGTACCTTATATTGCATGCATAGGATATTGTCCCACTGTCAGTACAGTGTATTGCATGTGTAGGGCATTATTCCCCTTGTCAGCACAGTACATTCCATGTATAGTACCTTATATTGCATGCATAGGATATTGTCCCACTGTCAGTACAGTGTATTGCATGTGTAGGGCATTAGTTTCAGAATGGTCTGGTAAAGTATAGGAAACATTGCATGCATATTTCCAAGTCTTATCCTTTAGTTTGACTCTGTAGCCCCATTAGAAATCAGCTGTTTTAATTAACTTCACCTGTTGAGAGATGGTGTTCTTAGGTGCCAGTCAGTGTACCCCAACTGAATATTTGCACAGACCTGCTAATTACTATAAAGAAAATTCCTAGAGTAATGAGGTAGTTAACCATTCTGCTGTTAAAATACAGATGCAGGAAAAGAGGGTGGGGTGGAGCATGGCATAAGGTCTGTCTGTATTCCAAGCCATTGCTGTCTGTGTGATTAATTGTCTTTAAATATTTACATCCTGAGGCAGAAAAGCATGATGTTTGAGGAAACATTGGAGAAGTGGTTTTTCCCCATTAATTAATGGCCACTATAGTAACAGTTAAAATATATCCTGTCTATATTCACTTATAAAACAAATCCAACTGCAAACTGCACAGCCCAGATCTGCCATTGCATAATGCTCATAATGATCTGGGTCTGTGCAATATTTTTTATTAGTAACTAGTAGAACAAACAACATAAACTCAGAGCTGCATGCACATTATGTAGTCCTACAATGTAAGACATTGACCCTGATATTTATGTCTAGGGGGTTGACCCTCAAAGCATAAATATCAGGGTTGATGTCTTATTGTAGGACAATGGTGGATCAGGATCTCTGTTTGCAGTTTAACTTGTAAGCTAGCATATATTGTAGGTTATGTGGAATGGGCCCTGGAAATTGTACAGTTTAACTTGTAAGCTAATATATATGGTAGGTTATGTGGAATGGACCCTGGAAATTGTACAGTTTAACTTGTAAGCTAATATATATGGTAGGTTGTGTGGAATAAACCCTGGAAATTGTAGTTTAACTTGTAAGCTAATATATATGTTAGGTTATGTGGAATGGACCCTGGAAATTGTAGTTTAACTTGTAAGCTGGTATATATGGTAGGTTATGTGGAATGGACCCTGGAAATTGTTGTCTAACTTGTAAGCTAATACATATGGTAGGTTATGTGGAATGGACCCTGGAAATTGTAGTCTAACTTGTAAGCTAGCATATATGGTAGGTTGTGTGGAATGGACTCTGGAAATTGTACAGTTTAACTTGTAAGCTAATATATATGGTAGGTTGTGTGGAATGGACCCTGGAAATTGTAGTTTAACTTGTAAGCTGGTATATATTGTAGGTTGTGTGGAATGGACCCTGGAAATTGTACAGTTTAACTTGTAAGCTAGTATATATGGTAGGTTGTGTGGAATGGATCCTGGAAATTGAACAAGGTTAGTTGCTCTAAGCTGATTTTGATAAAAATTCCATTTTACTATTGGAAGTTAGTTTCTATCAAGCATCAAAAGACCCAGATATTCTTGAGCAGTATACTATGAAAAATTTCAATGGGCAATGTTTTCATTTAGATTTCCAACAAAGAGTTTTGACCCAAATCTTCCAAGGTGTTATGCAATAAAAGATCTATTTGCACCAGGTATTGGAATTGGATTTCAGTCATACCTTGGAGACCTATTAGTGTGTTATGCAGTAAAAGATGGAGGTGTACACAGTTGGAATTGTAATTTGTAACAAATGGCATTAACCAATATACCCCAAGGCTGGCCATCACTATAAACATAAAACTGCAGACATCAGAGCTATATATAACTGAAAAATTGTTAAAGCTATGTTAAAATCCAAATCACACACACACACACACACACACACACACACACACACACACACACACACACTGACCCAGAACTGTCAGTGTTTTATGAGGTATCTGTATTGCTCTTTGGATGCATGTTGTGTGCATCATCAAATATATATAGTATCTATTATTGACTTTCAACACACCATGCTGCAGAGACATGCCACAGTTGGTATTAATTTTGACAAAACAATAAAAATGTATAAAATAAAACTTCAACAATGCAAAACCAAGCCTTAATGCCTCATTTTAAGGTTTTATTTTTTTAGTAGTTAATAGGAGATCAATTTCCATTTCTGTGTTGTTTGCTCTTGAATTTTGGCTCCAGATGATTGATGAGAATAATTGTGTAATGTTTTTGTTTTTTCCCATCAGTGGAATGGAAAAAAAATGTATGTAGCTTAACCAATTATCTAACATTCAGAAAGGTGGAAGATTAGCATAAATCAGTTTCACTTGATCTTACATCATTTTAATTTGCAAACCAATTCAGACAATTCTTTCATTTTATCATACATAACATAAAGGAGTGGAAATGTCATTAAATAGTGTTTAAATGTCAGCAAAACTTGTTCTGTAACACATAACACAATTTGACCAGTTTTCATTTTTCTTCAAACAGTTCATGTAATGTAGAATGCTACTTGTGTGAATATCTACAGAAATATATAACTAAAATTTTAATGTACCCATTTCTTTACTCTACAGACCATAAATGTATACACACATGCGTGTGTATATATATATATATATATATATATATATATATATATATATATATATATATATATATATATGCACACAATATATAAAATTGCAAGGTCCATCTTCATTTCTCAATACATAATATGGAATATTATATTTGTATTGGTAAAACATATATATATCATATAACCTTTAAACCAAAAACTGTTTATACTTGAAAGTTCAAATTGTGAATTTTCTCTCCAAAGATTGAGTCCCTGAGAGTGTAAAAAATATTAAGGCAATGAACTTCTGGACCACCACTTTGGTCTGTATGTTTAGTAAGAGATATTTATTCCATGTTTAGGAACTCTAGAGCCTAAAGTTCAAGCACACAACACTGGAGTATTTGATAAGGGTTGATGATCCTGTAATTAGAGAGCAAAGTCTCTGGTCTAGAGTGGAGTCTAACAAGTTTAATCCAGCCTTACTTGTAGATAAAGTGTTATAAACTGTGATAGGACACAGGCACCACAGGCTGGGCAACCCTCAGCTATTGTCCTGCCCTACTTAAATTCTACATTAAGATAGGAGAAAATGTATTAACACCAGTTAGTGCATACTGTACCAAAATAATTGCCCATCCCATATTTTTTATTATAATAATAATAATAATAATAATAATAATAATAATAATAATAATAATAATAATAATAATAATAATAAGGAGGAGGACTTTATGTAGCTCCTAATCTTTAGAAGTTTTAAGCCCTTTACAACATTTGACAATGCTTAAAAAGAATAAAAAAAACATATATAATGAAATGATTACAGATATTTCATACTGTATCCAAATTCCAACAATCTCGTTCCACACACCATATATACTTGCTTATAAATCAAGTTGATTGTAACCTATTAAAATAGAGTCAATAATTTGAGTGCAATTGAGATTTGAATTTTTTAACATAGCTTTAACAATTTTTTAGTCATGTCACTACATATCAGCAGTGTGGCAGTTTATAGTGATGTCTATCACTGGGTTATCATGCCGAAGACATTTGGCATGATGTCCCACCCAATCACATTATCCCAACACCAGGCCTACCAGCCCTAACACTAACATCTTAATGCTGAGCTCTAAGGGAGGCAGCTGTTTATACCATTTTGTAAGAGTTTGGTATTGGTATGACTTGGCAGGGGATTGAACCAATGATCTCCCACATCTGAGGCATACATTCTAACCACTAGGCCACCACAGTGAATAATGCACATGCTGATCAAGGTCTGTGATGTTTGTTCCACTAATTAATCCTAACTGCAACAACTTGGATATGCTGGTGCATTATCTGATGGTAAATTTTGACTCTGTGCAGTAATTGCATTTGATCTTGACTTATAAGCAAGTATGTATATATTTGTAACTGTTTAGAGTACTCTTTATTTCTCCTAAGTTTGTGTGAGATGGGTTTTGAAGTCCCAAGTTTGATGTGAAGGTAAGCAGATGAAAATCATGAACCTAGCTAGAGCTAGAGTTGACTTGCAATGTTACATCAGAAAATTATTTTTTATGCATTGGATATATTGTAATTTTACAGACTTATATAGTCTGACGCTTTATCCAGTTTGTTTGTACTTCATACTGATTTCAGTAACTAAAATGTTTAAGGTGATGAAATGTGCACAAAACTAAGTCAATTTAATCATTTTGATTTTTTATTTCTAACCTGACAAAGCAGAATGGCACCATTACTGGCATTCCTTTGCATGTTTCATGTTTAACGGACTTAACATACTATCACTGCTCCATATTGCATACACTTTGGGCTGGTTTATTTCCCTCAGACAACATGATGATGTAGTTCATCCTATTGGGATACTGCTGGATAATTTTGTAAATTGCCATAATGTTGAGAGTCTGAAATTATATCCCTTTGCACACATGAACATATTAATTATAATTATACCGCTTATTAAATCCATGTGAAAGAC